AGTTGATAAAACTGGATCCAACGATCTCCTCCAGGGGCATGCTTACATCTCCCTCCTCTGGTATCTTCAGCTGCAACACATCATTCCATAATTTTTCAAGCCTGCTGTACATTAAGTAAACATACTTCATCTCTGTTTTTCCTCTCTTTAAATTATCTTGAAGCCATGAATAGTAGCTTGTTCTGTCAAAGTAACCCAGCTTTCCTTGAGGAGTCCATGTTATTTTCTGGAGGAGTTCAACCATTTGTACAAGGGTAAGGTTAGTGAGAATCCCAGCCCCTTGTAGGCGGTATGAGGTTTTCAAGCCAGTTTATTGCATGTGTATAGAATTTCCAACGGCGCGGTTTTACAATTATTGAATTAATAAATTATTTGATTTAACAACAATCACATGTGACTTATAAACGAATACAATGATTAAATAGATACTAGTAGCCGTGAATTTAGCTGATTAATAGATATGAAGTTCATTAGTTTATTACCATGTTGTTTGACCATTAGCATCAAAAACGACAGAATTAGTTGATTAATAACGAGTAATGATATAAGAAATTGTATTTCCAGCGCAAATAAAGCTCAGCCGACAAAATAGTGCTAAATGAACTAATTAGTGTAAAGCGAGCATTTCACAATTCAAGCATACAGAGTGCATAGAAAGTAACAATTCTTTGTTTATGAATAACGAGTAATTAAAATGTTAATTAAATAAGAAAAATTAAATACAAATTGTCAAAAAGAAAAAAAAAAAAGAGGTTAAACAGATCGAAGAAGGTAAAAGATAATAGTTTTGATCCAACATCTGGATTCCATGATCAAAGATATCTAAACCTTCAGATACAATATTTATAGATCTACCGATCTGCCACATTATTTCGAATTTTCTTCGTAATTTTCCGGCGAATTCCAACGACTTTCCGTCACACTAAACAGAGGAAGACAGCGAAAAGAGCAAGAATAATAGAACTAGAACCCATAAACCGATCTGATCCAGAACCTGGTGGTGGCGTATGATAGTAAAACGGGAAGTAAGGGACGATCGGATTCGGCGGAGGCGGCGTAGGATAGTTTCCTGAATACGGCGGAGGGTAGTAGTAACCTTGACCGCCGTCGCCGTACGGAGGAGGGTATTTGCCGCCACCAGACTGAGATGGAGGAGGGTAATAGTAAGAACCACCTCCGCCGGAGCTCGGAGGAGAAGGAGGCGGAGGACATGCGGTGGTGGTTGATGGTGACGGTGGTGGAGGAGAAGGCGGAGGAGGAGGAGGAGATGATTGGACGGGACTACAAGGATTGTCGCAGGAAGAACACATTGTACAAGAAACAACCTCGTCTTTAGATGTCACTGTCGAGGTCACTGACAGTAGCAGAAGCATAAAAACAAGTGTAGTCAAACCGTATGATTGGTTTGCTTCCATTGTCAGAAACTGGATTCAGAAAACTTGATTTTTCAGTGTGGAAATCTACAGAGCTAAGAAGAAAGATGAGAAAGGGAGAGTGAGAAAATGAGAAAGAAAGAAAGAAAGAAGAAGCATATACAGAGGAGGAGTGTTTCTTCTTTTTATCGAGGAATTTTAAATTATATTGGCTTTCCAGCAGAAAAAAGGTGTTTTAAATAAAGAAATGAATAGTGAGATTGAAGAAAAGGTGACGCCGACACGTTAACCTTTTAACCGAAGGTCTTGTAATAAAGCCACCGGAAATACGCGCATGTCGGGGGCGTATGCGTCATTGTAACTCTCCCTAACTATTTTGTAAATTACGATAATACCCCTCTGGTCGTGGCTAGTTGTGTGAGCGATCGCGTGGCGGCTGCGTCGAGGAGCAAGTAGGGTTGGGTTAAATTAGGGAGAATCTTCAAAGAAAAATGAGGAAATGTGGCGGTCATTATAGTGGGGCTTGACTCTTTTGCAAGCTTTCACACGTGTATGTATATCATTGGGTTTTCGGTTTTTGACGTGGCAGCTTTCGAAGAGTAGACGTGAAGATGACGGAAGTCCTAACTGAGTGTGAGTGAGCGTATTTTCTTCTTCAACAATTATTTGAAATTTTTCTGTTGCTTAAAATTCAAAAGTGTTTAGAAGAATTTGAAGCCTTTTGTGTGTGTGTTGTTGTTGAATCTAAGAGCTTTTGTAATACAAGAAGACAAAAAGTATTATATGTATTGTTTGACGTAAAAGTTTATTGCAAATAATCAGTTGTTTTCTAGTATTATCATATTAAGTGGTAAAGTTTAAACATATATATAACTTATATTTTATGATCGTCGCAAAAAGTTCGTTCCATATATACAATCAATAGAAATTCTCCAATTCCCTGCCATAAGGGTATATATTAAGTTTATATATGTTTTGCAATAAGTACAACTTGGAAATTTTCTATGAACAGTGAAAGTTTTTCACATGAAACATACCGCATGATAGGATGTTAGGTCCCGTATTGAGATGTTATGGCGAAAGAAAGTCATGAATTTTTTATATATATAAAAAGAAAGTCATGAAATTTAGTGAAGGGTGTTTTGAAAAATTAGTTTTGGCATTCTAATAGAAACTCATTTTATCGGAATTGTCATAGTAATTCAAGTAGAACTATAACTATAATTTTGTTGAAAATTTTCAAACTTTTCACAGTCTTGTAGGCATTTTACTTAAAGTAATTTCAACTATAAATTTGAGCAAACCTCAATTTTCGTCAAAACGACCAGGCAATTAAAGATAGCCACAGAAGCTCATGATTAAAGCTAGTTAGTCTGGTTTCAAAAAAGTTGTATATTTTTTTGCTTTAGTGACTCAAGCCATTTAAAATGCTGCAACACTTTTAGGTTGTTAATTATATATATATATATATATATATATATTTAGTGGAGAATTTATACCAAATAGCCCTAAACCGTTGACTGAATTTTGCAACGGTTAAAGGAAAGATGTAGATGGTGAGAGTTGAACTTTCTTGTCATCAGAGATAGTTTTGTATTATTGATCCAATGAGTTGTTAAGAAGGCAGGATCGACGAGATTAGCATCCTCAAATCATACATTTGAGCTTGTGCATCTATGCTTTTCTTTTTCATTCCTTGGATTTTCGAATTCATGAAACCTTCAGTGTTGTGTTTAGTGATGTGTCGATCATGAATGCAAAGTAGATCAAACGCACAAACACGACGAGTGTTTCCCTTTTTTTGACATTTTGAAAAGCATATTGCAAAAAAAAAAAAAAAAAGCGAATAAAAATTTGAATAAAACTAAGAGTCTGAATCAAGACAGCTATTCGTTATTGTACTAAAATAACCAATACAAACATCTTAGGTTATGTATAGAAGAAGGAAGGAGCCCTATTATCACTGTCTTAATCACACCTCGTTCTTGTGAAAAGTATTAACATTGCAAATAAAGGAGAAGAAAAGTTGAGAAAAAAAAGTAAAGCCAATGAGGAATGCAAAAATGAAATCGAACAAATTCAACTTAACCCATGATTTCACATGTGCCCAAATATCAAAATCCTCCAAACATCTGCAACGACCACACGATTTGAAAATAGCAGCAGCTGCTGAAAGTCACGAGTTACTCATTTGCTCATTGCCCATGCAATCAAATCTTCTATTTATTTAAATTTAAAGTATAAAAAAGGTTTGTAATGCATTTATGAAGAAGAGGAGGAAATATTAGCTGTATAGCACGTGTCTTTAATAGCGTGCCACGACCCCACCAACCCCATCCCACATTCTCCGCACCTACCCAAACACTACATTTGATTTCGGTATATATAAACCGGTACAATTGCTCACCGGTCGCTCCGAAGGTTGTGCATTAAAAACAGAAGTTAATTTGTTCAAACAACCTCTCTTTGCAAGATTAATTAGACGCTTAGCACCCTCACATTATTATTTTTGACGAAAATACTTCTGTTTTGAAAGAATTTTACTGTTCATACACGTAATCGTATACTTATGTAAAATATTGGAACTATAGTAAACTTGTAAAAGTTTTGGTTTTCATTTTCACTCTTGCTGATGGATATAGCGTTAATCATTCTTTTTATCACCTTACATTGCGATCGGAAGACAAACTTTGAGAATAACAAATATTTTATGAAAACAAAACATAAACAAGACTGTCTAGATGACAAATCGGGTAACCGATCGGATTTGGATAACGATCTTACTACTGTCTAATCCTAGTTTTGGTGATGGACCACCAAATTACAAAACCGTACCGACAAGGTTCACAAATTGTCTAGATTCTCTCTCTGAAATAATCATTTTGGGCCCGGCCTTTTGTACATAATTCAACATCGAACCCATTTAAGTTTTCTTATTGGACTTCAATTAATTAAACCCATTTTCGGCCCAGCTTATGGTCTCAATTTCTTGTAAGAAAACGTGAAAACCCGCGGCCGAACATACAAAAAGATATTGTAACATTTTTATGTGTAAATGGTAGCATGTGTTTGTCATTAAAGTCTGGTAGCATGTGATATGTACTAGTTTTTAATAAATCTAAAACTTCATGGTTTTAGTACTATGATATAGTGGCGACTCGAATTGATTTATAACTGAAAGAAGCACATTTAATTGGGTTAGGCTACTATTATTAGTACACACGAATAAAGAAAAACATTTTTCATGTGGCCAGACCAAGATATGTGTTAGCTAGTTACGAGACATGTATTAATGATATGTTTTTTTTTTTATGTTGATACATTATAATAATGTAATTATTATCATCATCAATTTATCATTGCGTACAAAAATGATAGTTTCAAGTATTAATACTTCTTCTAGAATGGTTTGATGCCCACGGAAGTATTTATATTATTCTTATTACCAAATGTGAATATTGATGAAAGTCAAAAGAAAAAAAAACCAATTGATATATACCCAAAAGTGCTTCACAATGAAAGTAGCGGGCAAACTCAAAACTTTACAATCTGACGAAATTTAAACCTATTTTTCGTTATAAATTTTATATTATTTCTTTGACTTGACAAGATTGTGCTTAACAGATAGGCAAGTCACATTCCTGTCCTAATAAAGACAAACTTTCAACACAGAACAATAATTTAAAATAATACTACTATTTGAGAGTAATACCACCGAAAATCTTTTTGTTCATTCATCTTCTTACACATTCCAAAACTTTTTGATGGCCAAATCGCAGCATCGAGATACCCAGAATTTAAAAAAAAAAAAAAGATAAGAAATTGACTGAAGAACACAAAGCTAAAACAATTTCCGACAAAAAAAGAAGAGAGGGAAAAATTTCACACAAATTTGTTAGTAATCCATCATTGCTCTCAGAATTCAAGAAAACCCTAATACTTTTTTGTTGTTGTTGATTTCTGATCAGCCACCGTCTTCAAATGGTGGGATCTAGAAACCACTAAGCGTACACTGATCCATACGAGAGAGCCATGAGAAGCACGGCGGCTTGCTCTTCCTCGCCGAGCTTCCGTCGTTGCTTCTCCACCGTCGATCTCTTCGTCATCCCCAAATCCATTATCCTCTGTTTCAGCGATTCACCAAATTTAGGGTTTCTTTTGAGGTCGCCGCCGCCGGAATTTGATTTCTTCGGCTTCTTATCATCTACTCCTCGTCTCTTCTTACTCTTTCTGATCCCACACGCGTTACAAAGCGACTGCATAAGAAAAGAAAAAAAACCAAACAAATCAGATCGGATCAGATTACACGACCAAACTCCAGTTTTTCCCCCAAAATTGGGATGGAATTAGGGTTTATCGAACTGACCTTAGGTCCTGCAGGACCACCACGCCAAAGAGGGGTTTTGCTGGTACCACAATCGACGCAAGTCTTCTTGTCGTTGCTACTACTCTTGTTCTGTTCGATCATATCTCCACCTCTTCTTTTCATGGTTTCCGAATCCACCATAACCTGAAACAAGAAGATCATCACAGACCGATCAGCTTTAACAAGATCATCACCAGAATCAGGGGAGCAGTGGAGAGAAACAGAGATCGAAAAGAGCAGATCGTTCACCTCCTCGCTGTGATCTAGCATTCTCCGCTTCTGATTTTGTGACGAATTGAGTGATTTCAATCGAAGTTGGCGCTAAGATCGGGAAGCTAGGGTTTAAAAACAGAGATCAAAGAAGAATCTGGAAATGATCAGAGTCTGGGTTCAGGGTTCGAGAAGATCACGTAAACAGAAGATCAGAGAGACAAATTTGAAATTGGAAATGAAACCGACATGCAGAGGATTTTGTAAGCCACAGGAGAGTGAAGAAGAGAGTGTCAGAGAGAGATAGAGGGAGATTTTTATAGAACCGAACCGACATAGGACACCGCACGGTGGAGGAACAACAAAACCAAACGCGATTATAAATTGGTTCGAATTAAACCCTAAAATTTTGTTTATTAAATGACGAAAATACCCTTGAACTCTTCCTCTATTAACAGAAGGAGCCACCCGCCAAAATGGCGAAACATGGAATTTTGAGGAAAAGTTTTTTCGTTTATAATGATTTGGTGAAAAGAAAAAGGGCGCCACTTTGACCGGTGTGATCAGATACGGTATAGAGTACGGTTTCTCGAGTGGTCAATGATTCTCACGAGTATCAGATCGTAGCCGTCTATTAAGATCTCTACGATTTTTTTCTTCTATAATGTGGGAAATGGGAATTTAAGGAGGTTGACTTGAGTGCATACCAAAATCTTACAAATCAAAACATTTCGATTCCAATTTTCCAATTTTCCATGATTCTTTTTGTTGGAAACAAGTTGGAATTTGTTACTTAAAAGAAAGCCCCCAAAATTTTAATGATGGATTTTTGTAAATATCGATTTGCTGTTTTTAATACTCCTGGAATAAATGTAGTTTAATTCGTTAAGCTTTACATTTTTAGGCATTGAAAACTTGGTAAATCTATGGACCTCTTTAAATTAAGTTAATATCGGATGCATTGGGTTATATCTCCAAGTGGATGATCCATTGCAAGACAAAATATTAGTGCAAAACTAAGATACTAATGATGATGGATTAGCTATACATAGAGAAAGAAAGAAACAAAGAGATAGCACGAGTGGTAAGGAGTATAGCCAGGTAGATAGGGATTCAGAACCATATATTATTGTTCTGCATGGCTCCAAAGAAGATAGTGCTTTGTGTGTAACGTTGAATTATCAATTTCATGGTCAATGTGACATTACTCGAAATAGTTTAATAATGAAGGCGTATCTTCTTAAAAATGTAGAATATATATATTAGATATAGTCGTCTTGCGGTCTAAAATTTGACAGAGAAGAAAGAAAGAGACTGATTGTCTCAAATGTAACCACATACATACATGTTCCTGGACCACCTCTCTCTCTCTCTCTCTCTCTCTCTCTCTCTCTCTTAGTACTTATGTTCATCAGAATTATGCAGGAAGTCTATGAAAGTTGAGCTGAGCATATCAACTCCTCCTAGTGGGATTCATGATTCCAATGACCCTAACAAAACCTCTTATTTGATTTCAAGAATCTGAGTAACTTTGTACTGAACATTTTCAACTAAAACAGACGAAAACTATGCAGCAAACAAAGACAGAAAACAACTAATGATCCCAAAACCTCAAAAAGAAAAACAAAACAGTTCCATGTCAGAATTTGTTTTTTCTATAGAAGAAGACTTTTAACAGTTTGAAAGCTATTTTGGTATAGCTAAATCTCCTTCAGCCGAAGTTGAATCCTCCAGGAGAAACTGGAATAGTGTTCTCTCCAAAATGAAAGCCGAGATGAGAACCACCTTCACGTGGAGATTGTTGTTGTTGTTGTTGTGTCTCCTCATCTTCCTCTTCATCCCAGTATGTCTCCAGAATCTTCACAGCTTTCTCGTAGATGTCGTTGTTGTCGCTGCTCTGCAGGTTCTCAATCTTTTCTACCCCTTCCGCATCTTCAATCAGCTGAGCAAAATTCACGTGTCCTGTGATCTTCTCCGCCTCTCCGACCTTCAAAATGTTTTCCAGTCCTTCCAGACACACTGAGATGATTTCAAGATCTTGACATGCCAGGATGTCACATAAAGGTTTAATGCAACTCTGCTCCACCAAGTATCTGAATCACACCAAGAGGAAAACTGTGAATTAAATGATCAAGTAAGCAAGAAAAAAAAAAGAGAGAAGAGAGAAGAGAGGGACTTTTACTTGATTTGATCATGAGAACCAATTGAGATGGCATTTGAAATTGCCCATAAAGCTTCTTTCTTTATGTCAAATACAGAACATTGAGCCAGATGGACCAAGGTTGGAATCAAATTTGCATCAATCACCGACTGTTATCATCAGGGGAAAGAAGGACAGATATAAAACAATTAGTGATACCAACGACCGGTCATATACAGTGGCTGCAGCAACAAAAACTGCTTACCTGAATTTGTTCAACAGTGCCTGCAGTGATGTTTGAAATCGTCCAGCAAGCTTCCTTCTTTGTGCTTGTCTTATAGTTTTGAGTAAGAAGGTTGGCAATAATGGGTAAAGCACCATAACTGATCACACACTGAAGAATAAGTTCAAAGAGATTATAATCCAAGAGACGGTATCAAAGCGAGAATGTAGTAAAGTCAATGACGTTTTCCAGATGTATAATGAAGCATACATATATTATAATCCAAGAGGCGGTATTAATAGGTGGACGACAGAAGTGTTCAAGAAAAATTTTCCATAAATGGAATCTGAATTACAAACCTGGGTCAGCTGAGTATTTCCAGTAACTATATTCCCGATGGTACGAAGTGCAGGAGTCACCACACATTGAGAAGGATGCCTGCAAAAAGAACAAAGATTTGTCAAGAGTTTCATTATCTAAACATGTAACAAAGGCTTTTTTGTTATTGTTTGAGAAGTACTAACGAGAGAAGTTGAACGAGTCTTGGGACAACACCAGACTCGACCACACATTGAATTTTCTCATCTGGACCATCAGCCAGAAACGAAAGTCCCCAGCAAGCATCTGCCAAGATCTCTTCATCATTCGAATGAACAAGTCGTTCAAACGCAGGGATAGTAGGTTTCACCTGTTAAAATAATCATTGTTTCAAAATGTTCAACTATTGGATGTACACACAAAATGAGGAAAACAGAGTGAGAGAAAGAGAAGAACTTGGTCAAATGGTGGCTGAGGCTTGCCACGGCAGAAGTTTGACAAAGTCCAGGTGGCATTCCTAACCATCGACGACGTAGAGTGCTCATTAAGCTGAGCCAACAGTGGCATCAATGCCCCACACTCAAGCACTAAATCACGGCACTGTGTTGCATCACCAGCGATATTACCCAATGCCCATACAACCTGCCAAAAAGTTAGGTGTTGTGACATGAGGCTTTTTTTCATAAGTTATATGATAAGCATCTCATATTCACAGGAATTTACAATACCTGCTCACGGAGAGCATCATCAGGGGAAGCAAGAAGATGGACAAAGATCGGAACAGCTCCGTTATCAATTACCACCATGGTGTTCTCCAATGTCCCAGAAACGATGTTTGTTAGCACCCAAGACGCCTCAAACTAGAAGCAAACAACCAACCATGGAGTCAGACGGAGATTACATTGATCATCATCATGATATGAAATGATGGTGGGGCTTATTCTTCTAACCTGAAGCTTGGGGAAATCGTCATTCTTGAGAAACTCAACGAAACGAGGCACGACTCCACATTGTACCACTTTGTCGATAGGAGGACTCTCTAGAAAGAGCACAAAAAAAACAAAATCAAAGAAACGATCTTTGAGAAGATGAAGAAGTAAGAAGATGAAACATACCTGTGGATAGAACAGTCCTGAACTGGGTAGCGGATTCGAGCTGCAACAAAGGGTCATCGGACCAAATCCCGGTGACCATTGCTAGATTGTCCAACTACGATTTTGGTTAAAAATTTTCCATAAAAGGCAAAAAAAAAAAAAAGGATGATCAATTTTGAAACCCAGAATCAACAACGAAATCAGCGGAGGATGATAAACATTGTGAGATCGCGAAACTCAGGCTTACCATGTTCTCAAGGGAGGCGGCGGATTCAGGAGTGAAATCTTGAAGAGCTTGCATACCGTCGCGACGCTTCTTCATCAGGCTCTCCTCGCGTTTGTTTTTCCGGATTTCGACCAAATGGTCCTCTCTTCTTCTCCGTCCTTCCTCCGCATCCACGGTGGCCTTGTAGCGGTTTCGACGGAACACTGTCTTCTCGCTCGGTCTCAGCGACATGGCGAGAAATTGAATCAACGCAAAGCGGAATTGACTCACAAATCTGACGAGAAATCTCAACGGGAAAGTGAAAAGAGGGAGAGGGAGAGGAAGAGTGATTCGCAATTGCAGAATGCAAGACAGTGCGTAGGCGAAGGGAAGGAGCGAAAACAGTTCAATTTTGAGAAGCGGGGTTTTTCTAAACCATTAATAAACAGTACATCAGATAATTACCATTTGTAATGAAATTTTAAGATTTATTATCATTTTTAGAGCTAATTAAAAAAACTTAACGCAATAGTCATTGGTCAAGATTAGGTTGAATTCAATATAAATGGCCAATATGGCAATATCTGAATATAGAATGTGGAATTTGGAATCTTTATATTTATATTGACCGTCTAAGAAATGGTGATTCCTAAATCAAGAAAAGAGAGTTTGACCAAAAAAAAAAAATTCAAGAAAAGAGAATTCCCAATAAACCAAAATGACAAAATGAAAAAAATAGACTTGTACATGTATATATTAATTTTTTTACATCAAAACAGACTTCTATATGCTGCTTGCATCATGTAACGCGTTATTATTATTCCATAAGGTCAAATACTCATTCTCTACTACCATATGAATATTTCTCCATTCATCTTATGAATTTTATAGTTCAGTTATCATTATATCATCCAAGCATAACAAAGAAAGCAGTCTAAACATCATTGCGGTAATTATGATCTTTAATAAAAGTTTGGTTTTATTTACACATTGGTATAATGTATAGGATGTTATAAACATTTAGCACACATTTCATCTTAATGCATTAATCGAATGTGTAAAGAGTCAATATCTTTATCCTTTTTATCAGCTGGAATAATAATGTTAATTAGTATATAACTTATCTTCTATACACTATGTAGACTATACTATATATGCAAGTTGCTTTAAAGAAACAAGATATTCCAAAGACGTAGATCCATCTCTAACCGTAGCAGGACCTTCTCGAGCCACCGTAGCCATCCGATTCGTGGGCGATCTTGGAGGAGATGCATAAAGCACTGATGCCTCGATAATTTCTCTATGTGTATTTTCAAGATCTTTAGAGATTCTATGTGCTTGAAGAGCCGTTAGGTAAAGTCCCGTGGCTAGAAAGACAGTTAGAAGCGAGATCACTCCTGCGGCAGAGAACAAGCCTTGTCGGATTACTAAGCAACTAGGTTTTGGCTTAGACCAGTTCTTTAGATGTCCTGATTCCACACTAAGTCCCACCAACAGTAGAACTTCTCCAACACCAAAGCAAAGCCTTACATAGGAGGAACAAGAAAAATTATATAATTACAAAAATATTATTAACATAGGTTAGGAATTTTAATGTTATTTTTTTCAACATGACGTTAATTATTGCGTTAGGATTAGTCACTTACCACGTTGAGACGAAGAAGAAGGCTGCTTGAAAAGTGAGCGTCTTGGCAGGAATAGAGTCAGGATCCCACGTTTCCAAAACCAGCGGCGGCGATGTGGTGACTGCGATAAGTAAGTACATGTGCAAGCCTACCATCGCCACCGCTAGTCCCACGAACGCAATCGTACCGCACAATAACGGTGTTTTTCCGTTACTGTTGTACACGCACGTGCTGCTTCCCCATGTAGCCTAATGCGAGTCATTGAAAACCCATTTTGGGACTGACCATGAGAAGAATGTAACGGCAATGATATAGACTAAACATAATTTTATGAACCATATGGCAAAGTTATATAAGTTATCAATTGCTATGTTTTCTTTATCAATTAACTAATTTAATAACTGTTTAAATATGGTCTGAACATCTCTAAGAACTGGATTCTAGAACCGGCTTTTGAAAAATAGGTTTCTTCGTGTATGACGACAATTGACACAGTATTCATGTTCAAATCCGATAAAGTTAAAACAGTACTCATATGAAACTATGATTAAATAAAAGAGAAATTTAATATATACATCCATATTTACCTGAGATCTTGTGGCTTCTGCATAGAGACAGAGAACAAAGCAAGAGAGGCCAAAGATTATGGTCAAAACCACGACGAAAATACCAGTTTTACTGCTCAGATCGGTGGTTTTAGGGTTTGGAACAAGATCTTGATGGGTCACAGCTCGAACTCTTGTTCTCGTCATGCCTCTTGTCAATGTCTCATATACAAAAATCGATGTTTCATGTTTTGAAAGTTCATTATACTTGGAATCGTTTTACATCTATATATGAAGGCATTGAAAAGTGGGAAGAAAAGACAAAGGTGGGTACATTTGATAATAAATAAATTAAAAAGGAGAGGAGAATAGTAGAATTGCTTCGGCCAAAGGTTGCTTAAAGGCCAAAGATTCGAAGGTTCTTTTTCGGATTTCTTTTTAAAATGCTGTAAAATTTTTTTGGTATAGTGTCCAGTACTGAACGATGATGTGTAAAATATATAATGTGACGAGAGTTCGTTAATGGTCCTAGTTGGATGATTCTTTTCATGCAATACTACACGTGTATATTAGAACAGTATCTTCTTCTTTTTATTTATCGTGCGTGTTCATACATGAACATCGTACGGCACATTTTCATTATCCTTTGAAAGTAAATTATGTAATTTAAATATATAAAAACTACTAGTATTGATTAAAAGTTTCACTAAGATGTTTATGAGGTCCTAACGCATACGTATTAGACATTCGAGTCTTGGAAGCCCTTTATCCAACTCTTTGTAATAATTATTAAGGATTCAATAAAGATGTAGGCACACTTACTCCGTTTTCCTTATGAAGGCCTTTAACAAAAAAAAAACCATAACCATACAGAGGAAGAGTCTGTTGAAGCTTTTGGTTTCAAGAGGCTGGGGGATTCAAAGAAAAAAATAGCATTAATAGGAGGCCAATGAAAGGAGAGGCAACATAGGTGTTGATGAGTTCATGGTAGGTGAATAAAGGAAAAGATAAACGGTATGAAAGGGTGAGAAAAGCTATTTTTTTGCTGCAAAAGCATTTGGAAAAGATGAAATTGCTAAAGCCAAATCTTTACTGAGAAAGTATGACAACAATTGAGGAAAATAAGCATGGGAAACGGAGATATTTTTGCTGGATTATATTAGAAAAGAGAGAGAGTTTCCTTTTGTTTATTGTAGAAGTAGTTGGCCTCTTTATATTTGTCTTTTTTTGTTGTAAGCTCCAAATTAAAGGCTTATGTAAATTGCTATATGCAAAGTTATTTCACTCTCTCTTCTTCTTTTTTTTTATTTCACTCTGAACTAGAAGAAAATGCAACATTTTCCATCCACAAAATGTGGAAGTTTATGTTTTTTGTTTATCATTTTGGAAGCGGACAATGAGGTTTGCGTTTCTTTCTTCGTTTCTCCTTATTTATATTCATAGGGAAGTGACAAATACATGGAAGATGATATTGAGTTGAGTAGGTTCATAGTGTAGATAGAAATAGGTGGAACTTTTTGAGTGAAAAGGGATTTTATGCAGTCAACCCTCATTATTTCACAACATTATCAATGAAACATAAAAACAAACAAACACTATAAAATAGCAACAAAAAAAGAAAAAGAAAAAAGCATAACGTGCTTCAAGCTGGTCTAAACTAGGCTACATTTATCCTAATTAACTCTCTTAACACACTCCAACAAGCTGCTACATAACCTCAAGATACACTATAACCAAACAAAACACTAGACTTTACAACAAAAGATGAATGTTTTACTTGCTGGTAATATCACTCGATTGTGATCTCTCCAATATCTGAGAGATCCCAGAGATCATCACTTTGACAAGTCACACCACCTTGAAACTCCCAATCAAGCAACTCCTCATCAATCCCAAACCCAACTTCTGAAGAGTTGCCAAGACCAACCCACCAATCTTTATCACCATTTTCATTTGAATTCGAAGTCAAAACACTTCCCTCTCTTTCTTTTTCCACGTTCATGACATGATCAACCTCTGTGTTGGGGATCTTTTCTTGTTCTTCCTCAAACAAACCCACACAACAACTACTATTGTCCCCACTCTCACATACTTTGTTGTGATCAAAGTCATCATCATTTACTCCAATCACGGCCTCTTCACTAGTACATTCCCAGACGAAACTACTCATGAGCCTCTCTATCTCACCATCCAACCACTCGTAGGGCCCTAAAGACTCTCCTATGAAATTACCATTTTGCCCTCCCTCACTGATCTCACTATCTAGCTCTGTCGGTTGTGATAAACACTGCGAGGCCGTCACCATTTGCTTGTGTTTCTTCATCGATGACCTACTAGTTCTTCCCTTCTTCTTCTTCTTCGTCTTGTTCTTGCTCTTGTTATTGGCTCCCGATAAAGCAGAAGAAGAAGAAGAAGAAGAAGACAACGACGAAGAAGATTTCTTCAGGGCTAAATTCTCGACGTTTAGATTGTGTTCATCTCCGGAAACGACAGTGAAGGCGTAGATTTTGCGGCTGAGATGTGAGTTCCAATAGTTTTTAATTTCGTTGTCTGTTCTTCCTGGTAGATGTGTTGCAATAAGCGACCATCTACACAAAAAAATAAAATATAGGCACAAATAGTGAGACAATTAATACTATAAATTTCGACAAATCAATGATATTATACATGCTATCGCAACTTGGCTTTTTAATTAATTCAGTACTATATATATATATGTATGTGGATGGTTTTAGTTATGTGTATATATCTAAATTTTTCTTTAAAAAAAAAAGGTTGGACCATTCCAACAACGATCAAAACCACTCGTTCTTACAGTTGTCAGAGAGGAAGTAACAATCAGGGCCGTACATAACACATATGAGACACAGAAATCAATTCAGTCAGACCTTTAAGCAGCATAATGCCAATTCTAATTATTGATAAAAAGTCAAAGTTGGATGGATTATTTTTTTTTAATGGACAAATTTGGTCATAATGCATTACATAATTTTGATCCCTTTGTTTTATAATTTTTCATTTTTATTTTGAACGGTTGGATTGGAGTCTGACCATTTCTACATGTTTCTACGTTGACAAGACATGCAAATAATGGTACTGTACCCGACCCCGCCCGCTTTACAGTCACTAGTCAGACAGTGGCAAAAATGTAATTATAACACAAAATTTTGAATAACATATATATTGTTTTTGTTAAATATGTAAATTTGTGAAGGGGGTGACGTGGAATAAACTGGTTTATCAATTACCTGTTGCCTAGAAGTGAATGCAGCTTCACGATGATGTCTTCTTCTTCGGCCGTAATATTTCCTCTTTTCAAGTCCCTTCTCAAATAGTTTATCCACCTCAGTCTACAGCTCTTTCCACATCTCAACAATCCTTCACATTTTTGATTTTTTTTTTTATTAGACCATGTATAAATTAATTAAAATTTACAATCAAATGTAACATCACAAGTTTTCTTTTAAGATTGGCACATTTTTCATTTTTCCATGCATCAACAACTTCCATTTCTATTATATTGACCAAGTTTATGATGCAAGAAACTCGTAAAACTTAAGAAATAAAACGACATATATAGTCACTAGTTTGTAAAACAATTTGAAGAATTTAGTCGTTTTTCGAATGTTAAAATTTAAACAACTACTGAATGCGAAATGAATGTATACCGGCTTTCTTAGGCAAAGACCGCCAAGAACCTTCACCATTGGTTTGAATATAGTTAGTGAGGATCTCATCTTCCTCGGCGGTCCATCTCCCTCTCTTCAACCCTATTTTCTCACAACACGGAGCCCTTCCCATCTCTTCTCTGTCTCTTCTCTCAAAAAGAGAAAGAGAAAAAAGAAAGAACAAAAAAAAAAGAGAAAACACTTTTTGGACCCTTGAGTGAGGAAGTGAGTGAGTGAAAGAGAGAAATCATCCAGGTGATTAATATAGAGAGGACAAAAGGGAAAGGAGAGTTAAGGTTTGAGAACGACGTCGTATAGGTGAAGGAATGAACCACGTTGCGGTGGAAATTAAAGTCATTGTATTGTGTACATCGACCATCGTCTAAAACATCGCACAAATGACACTCCACGTACCTCTCCTTCTGACCTTTGGTCCCTCTGTCTACCCTTTTCCGTGCTTACAAGATATTTATTACTCTGTATACTTTTATACCTAAATACGTACTTGCATATACATGTACATGTCAAGTAGCTATATGCATATACCTACTTGTATACGCATTTAATGAATTCGTCTTGAACATTCTTTTCTTCACTTACTTCCCTCAAGAGGTTTTAGTTCATTTCTCTAAGTTAAATAGTGCTCAAGAGTATAATTTGTAGAGTAAAATTAATTGAATATAATTAGTGTGTATTCACTTTCTAGGATTTTTTGAATTGAAGCGACATACACATAATACCGGTTTACGTAATCCGGATTCAAATCAGAAATTGCTAGGACAAACAACATTAATGCATAACCGTATATAAAACCATATAACAAGAGTTAATGAAAGGAACACGTCAAAATAGTATTAGAGTCGGCAATGGCTATGCTAAATATTAAGAGGTTTATGTGGAAGATCTTGGACCATATTCGTAAGTGGGCATGTATTGATTTGTGGTAGGCCATAATTATATGCTGGTTTAATTGTAGAATAATAGTTACATGGATCGGTTAATTCCGGTAACATCCAGAAGGTAGGTGAATTTCAACGACTTTCTTGCGCTTTTTTTTTTTGGTCTAACCGACTTTCTTGAGCTTTTTTTTGGTACTACTTATTAAAAAAGTTTGGTATTGATCGTACCGTACGTGTTCCTATATTTGTCCGATAGATAGAGCTTTTCTTCTTCCATTAGTTCTTTCCTTTGCAGTTCAACGCCGTCAATAATTAATTGGAACAAACAGTTAAATGTAAGATTCTTCCTTAACATGGAAAAAATAAATAGATGTCAGTGTGAACGAGTGTATAAAGACCAAGAGATGAATATATATATATCCTAAAAACAAAATATCAGCAAATTAAAACAAACGTAAAATACAATGAGCAGCCACTTATAATCAAATGAAAATACATGAAGTAGAATTAAAATCTACTACCGTAACATGAGAAACAAAATAGATGTCACAGTGAAAGAATGTACGTACGTATAAGACCATATATAAGTGAACGAAATGAATATATATTAGTATAATAGAATTTAGCGGAATGAGAAATGTGACAGTATAAACAAACAAGAAAAGATCAGCTAATTATAAGCTAGATGCAAAAATCGACTATGATGAGCTTATAATTACATGAAAGCGTAATTTTCTCCCGATGATGTTTGAAGGGTTCAAGGTTGGAGCCTTGGAAAGGATCTTGGATCAATGTATTCCACTAAAATGTGAATTTGTCTCCCGATGATAAAACTTGAATCAGAGGAAAATTCATTCCAAAACGTTATAATTTTAAGGAAAAATAAATTGCTTTCAGTTACACATTAGCAACAACAAAATACTTCAGTATTTCTGTACATCAATATGTAAAAGAACGCAAATTATAGAATATAGTAAATTCATAAACTATCATGTATTTAGTTAATTTGAACTATGCTCTCAGTATAGTTGCACATCCCATTTTCATTTTTGTTTCCTGTCAATTCATAATAGTGTATATAACCATGAAAATCAAATTGTTGTGCTGGCATGTTCATTCGCATCATGAAGATAAAATAAAATGGCCGTAAGATATAAATGTATTAATATAAGAATAAAATTTGATTTGAAAACTGAAGGGAAAAAGGATGATGACATTATATATGAGCCAGTCACGTAGACATCACGAGTCTCTTTAGTAACAACGAGCAAAAGCTTTGCCATTAAAGGCACTGCTCTAAATTCTTTTTGTCCTGGTCTCTTGGCCTCTCTCTCTTCCCCCATTCACCTCTATTCATTATAAAACTCATAGAACAACCCAATCTATTGAATGTTCACCCATCCTTAGCTCAATAAAATATATTTGTTGTTGACAAATGAATAATATATTTATAATATTTTGCAGGATTTTTATGCATGTGATATAATTTTTCTTGATTATTTCACTAAGGTGCAATAGTTAATTACCCTCATTAATTGATATGTGCGGATGGCTCGAAAAGTGGTTCTTTTGAGTATTAATTGGATAAGAACATGCGATGACGAAGTTCATTCGAATCAGCCAATTAGGAGTCGAGCTTCGAGGATTGCCATGCATGGAAAGAACGAATGTCTTTTCGATTTTTTCAAAGGTTCTTAAACGGTGCTGGTGTATATATTCTCTTGCAGCCATGTTTTGGGATCTTCCTTTATTCTTTATCTATTTTTTATAAGGGCACTTTTTAAGACATAGTACTGTAAATTAGATTTTTTAACCAAGATAAGATCTAAAAGTAGACGTCGACAAACGTAATGGCGCTTCACACTGACCTAAGTCGTGAGTACAGTGTTACAAAAAACCTCCGTTAATACCTAGGTGCCAGCATTCTCACCAATTAACGTCGTAACCACCGTAATGTTTCTTTCTTTTTTTTCTCTTTCGTTCATGAGTTTCCTTTTGTGGATGTGTGAAATTTAGAGTTGAGGTTCTCTATCTGAAAATCTAATTGAATTTTTGGTAATGTTCGACAAAGTATATTACGATTGAGTTAAAGAGAAAAATTAAAAATATGTTTTGTTCACTTTTCCTTGATGCGAATTATCTTTTTTTATTACACAAATTTCATGTAACAGAAATTATAGAAGAAATCACTGGAATATCTTGGTATTAGACTCTTAGTTAGTAGTATACAGCAGATTTTTAATCTTGAAATGTATATGATTTGGAAATGTTTTGATTTTTTTGGATCCACGCGTAAGGGTCCGTTGGTATAAATACAATGTATAAAGAGGGAGGTCATTATGGCCATGCAGGTCCATAAGGATCCTGCGATCCTCTCACCAACTTACATAAATCTGACCTTTGATATAAATACGCTTTGTTTTGCATATGAGCACTTGAGCAATCAATAGCCCCACCTATTTCATCGACTTGTCCTGCATGTAACCATATTCACATACACTTGTACTCCATACCTCTTGAAAGCAAAATTATTTTCTCTTCAACTTTTTTTTTTAAAAAAACTTGATATTTAGAATTCTAATAATAATACCAAAAAAGATAATCAAATGTTTATGCTTTGTGGAACTCTAGTCTGTAACTCTCTTTTTTTGTGTGTTATATAGTACTAACTTCTTTCCAACATGATTTTTAGGATAAATCAGGGAAATGGCAAATTTCTAGAATGAGCTAGGTAAATGACGACGGATTAATTAAACGTATCAGAATGAAAAAAATAGTATATAATAAACAATTTAATCTTCCTTTTTTAGATGAAAGAATCTCCATGCTTGAAGCCCTCTTATACATTCGGTCCATAGGCCAAGGCAATCGAGCAACTCGTATAGAATCAAGTTAATTAACAAACCTCCACCATATTCTTATCAGAAATGAATATCGTCACTTATTAGTTATAACTTATGGTGTCTTTAAAGACATTTTTTTTTCAAATATCAACTTGACCTTTTGATTTCATTAATTGTATATCCTGCAAAACTAGCATTTATGCGGAATTTCTTACTAAGAAAATTCAAATTGGATCGTTACAATGTATTCTATCTGTATTCTGCAAAACACATTTGCATAATTAAAAGCTTTAAAATAGTATTTTGAATTCTAAGAAAAACATACATTCAAGTATCTAACCAAATTGATGTTAATTTGAACCGAGTCATACCTCCAAAAGAGGCAACAATAAAAGTTATTCGAAGATCTAAAAATTGGGTTAACAGAGATTTTTAGTAATAAAAATTATAAAATTTTGATTGTTGATCAATTAATCTATAAAGTTTATATTTGCTTAATTAGATATAAGTCAAAAAAATTTAGTTGCTTGTTTAATATTTGCACAAGTCGTGACCATTTAGCAAATTATGTTACAAACAATCATAGAAGCAAAATATAAACTTTGATTATATTAGAGAAGTATCAAGTGGTTGATTATATCTACCAATTTCTGAATCTTTTGAATGATGCATTAGAGGAACATGTCCTGAAAAAATATAATAAAGTTAAGGAAATAGAATTTCAACATTTAGACATTGATGACCTTAGTTAATAACTTCTCTGTCACACTTTGACAACAATTTGTCAATTTTTATGTGAAAATGTTATAATGTCATCTTTGTTTATTTCGAGGGGAAGCAAGCATCATTAACAACTTCACAGTCACACATTGACAACAAATTGGTCTTCATAATAAAAAACCATAGATCTATACTTGTTGACTACTTTAAAGAATTTTGGAATCAGTTCTTATTGTTTCTTCCAGGATCCAATATTTCACTGTTTGAGGTATGAATTCATAATTATTTTACATATCAATTTTTCGGTTTTTCATTTATCACATTTTCTCTTTCAGACTATCAAGTAAGATATGAGGAGAGATCTGCCGAACAGCACTTCAGATACTAAAGATCACTCGATCACACTTATTCATGAAATAATAAATAGAAGTTCACTTCTATAGCCGAGAAGGTGGAAATGCTGAAAACAATCTCTAATGATAATCTCACAATATGCTTTTCTTGTATGTTCCAAGGTACATAATTCAGTTGCTTCTATATAATTCAATCCTATATAATGATTAACTTAAATTGTAGATGTACATTGAGGGTATTTTTTTTGGAAAACTACCAAGTCGAGAAGTGGAGCAAATCTCATCAGTGTTGCAATCATCTATAATGAATATATCTTCCCTCACAACAGAAGTTAGAGTCATTAAAAGATTTCATATTCCTGTGATATCACCATTTGAAATGTCAATGTTACCAAGTCTGAACGTAACTCTCTAGGAAAGGTACGTACACTCATGAATGAGGAAGGTTTCTTTTAAGTTGCCCCTCTATCTAACGTTTCTTTGCTATTGTTTTGCAGGTTTATTTTCAAATTGGGACAAAAGAAGACGATCCTAGGAACAAAGCGGTTTTATATCTTTTCACCTTTATCGTAGAGAGTAAGTTTTTCCGTCAACTAAGGTTAGTGTTTATATTTCTATTTTTTGAGATTAAGAACAAAAGATGTTGGTTTTCTTTTCCCATACTTAGTTTTCAAACGATGTCAGGACAAAAGAGGCCCTGGGATATGATGTTAGCCTCCGACTGGCTATATTGGTGGAAACCTTGTGCATTTTGCAGTTATCTCTCCTACGTACAAGCCAACCCATTTGGTTGAAAGAATTAATGAGTTTATAATGAACTGTCATAAGTTGCTGGTAAGTTGCTCTCAGCCCCATTTCCTTTTTCAAATTAAAGAATAAAATAACTAAGTTTTTTAATAGGATGATATGGATAGTAAATCCTTCAAGAAGTATAAAGATAGCATGTGTTCTGAATTTGAAACCGAAAATGGCCCGAGGAGATCTGGGATCAGATTATTAGGAACAGGTAATGATTTGTGAATCGCTTATATATGTTTGACATTGTCTGGTTTATTCGCTAATTAATGGCTGGTTTTCAGTTACTCTTTTACCTTCTTCTCTGCTGAAGCTAAGCAGCTGAATAAGCCTGATCTTGTCGCTTTTTACAAGAGGCATTTCCTAGAGCAATCATCATTTCGTAAGGTTCTAGAATTGTTGTCTACTTTCTTTCCTTTCAAACTGCAGGCTGTGTTAATTTTACATGTGACTTTGGCTTTAAATAATTTAAAGTTTGCGTGCAAGACATTATTATTGTTGTTTTATGGGCCAACGATAAAAATAAATCGTGTTATGTTTTTCCTTTAGAGTTCTATTTACAAACACAAATTTGAAGTTTTGTCTGTCCCCATCGGAAATGTATTTTTTATACAGACTTGCAGTGAAGTTATTATTCTCGTATTCCTCACAATCACATATCCATTGTAATGTTGGGACATTTGATTATAGATTTGCGATTGACTTTTTTTAATGAGTTTTGCAGTCGTTACTACTCTTTCAAAAGAACAAAGGAAAGTAATGCTTGGAAAGATCAACAAATGAGTAGGCAGTCAAAGAGGAAGAAAGTAAAAACACCACAATCTTACACTAGAGTTCCAAGTGACTTGTAAGGCAAGTAACCATGTGAAACTAGCAGAGTAGCATAGAGAAGCTGGTTCCACGAGTCAGGAACGCCAGGCAGGCACCAATGGCTACAATCTTGGAACATACCGGTTGCAGGAGGAGAGCCTCCTATGACCTCCACAGGCTGCCTGTAAACCGAAGGGTGACCATCGGGTCGATACCAAGTCATTTTCGTGATGTTCATGAAAAACACAGGCGTTTTCATATCCGAGATCACTGATTCCACCACTTTCATCATCCATGGATACCCTCCTTTGTACGTCTCGTTCTGTATCGGCCTTGTTTCTCCATCGCATTGCCCTCCCCTGTTCCACGCCCCTTTTCTGCAGTTAAAAACAACATTAAAATCGAGATTTCTTGGGGTGAAAGAAAGTTGCCTCATCCCCTTTTTTTCTGCAGTCAAACTCAAAAACAAAAGTAAAATAGCGATTGCTTGGACTGGAAGAAAGCTGCTCTTACCTGAAATGTGAAGAGGAGTAACCGACGAAGAAGACTCTGGTTTTGGTGCTGTTGATATTGGAATCAACCCAATCCGCCCATGTGTGAAGAGCTTTCGTGTAAGCTTCTTTCACTTCTAGCTTTTCGTAAACTCGATTTCCCTCCTGGAAATAATCTTTCCTGAAAAATCGAAATCCACTAAGGGATATGATTAAACAATATCGTAATACAAGGTTTTGTAAATGTTCATTCATACCCTTCGTAAGTTTTCTGGTGAGTCCACCAGTGACCAGTATTGAATATGACAATGTCTGCGTTTTTGTATATCTTCGTGATCGACCGTTGGATCATATCAAGCCTCAGTGTCTCTCTCCTCTTCCCGTATCCATCTAAAACTTCGGATTCTTGAACGAGGAACGGTGATTTGATGAAGTCTATAGAGCATTCGAAGTCCTGACGAAAAGTAATAAAAACTCACCAACAGATTTAAAATGATTAAAAAAACCCACAAAAGAGATCTTAGATACTTACTTTGAATCTGAAACCGTAAAAGCCTTCGTTGTGAAGATTACTCTGTTTTCCAGAAACCTTGGAAACTCTGTTCTTGTCTTCTAATGTTGACCTAAGTGAACAAACCAGAGACTCCCACATGTTTCGATTCAATGAATCCCCAACGAACACAAGTCTTTTCCCTCTCAGTATCTTCAACATCTTCTTCCCATTGAATCTACAGAAAAAAAAACCAGCGAATCATCTTACGAAAAACAGAGTCACATGGGAATGGCAGAATAGTAATTAAAAAAGCAACAAGAACTGACCTTGGAATTGAGCATCCGTGAGGTTGCCATCGATGACGGAGAAAACCCGAATCGGGTCTGCCGTTTTTGTAGCAGTTGAATTTATCTTCAACGAAAGGACAATAACCTGGAGAATAAACCGGCTCGGAATCGTCGAAGACCCATTTTCCGTCAAATATGTCGCAAGAACTCAGTTCTTTGATCGCGAAATACATCTTCTTCGACTCGTTCTTGACGCGGATTATTCTCGGAGAAACAGAGTAGAGCGTTTTTGTGTCAGAAGCTGTCGAAGTGGAAGAAGGAGAAGAGAAGAAATTCGCCGCCGTGAGAGGACGAGAGATGAAGCTCGAGACGATGAGTGAGGGAGAGAAATCTGAGAGAGAGAAAGAGGAGAGAAGGAAGAGAGAGATCAAGAAAAGAGAAGTTAGAAAAATATGTATCGTTGATGGGTGTCTCATGATGGGGAAGAGGTTCTTCAAATCCGCCATTCAAACGTCTCCGATCTTGTTCTGCTCTGTTTTCTCTTCTCTTCTGTTTTCTGGGAAAAGAAATTAAAAAAAAAAGCAATATGGTCTGATCTATGTGGAGGGAAAAGGGAGATCCAACGGTTAGAAATTAAACAGCTTATAAATGTGTTTTCTGTATTTCATTCGGCTGTGCGATCAGAAATGTTAAATTCTGAGATACAGACAATGGTTGAAATTATACTCCAATAATTTTCTACCGGAAACATTTGAGATCAGTATAGTTTTTGCAGAATAATCATAAAAAACTACAAAAGGTGGTTTAGATAAATCAAAAACATTCGTTTTAAAAAATATACTTTAAGCAAATCAAAAATATAACAGAAATTTTTTTATAAATGTGAAAATATATAAGTACTCTTTAAATATATAGTTATCCATCGATCCAAGATAATAGCTAAGATTATAAATTTAAGCTCTTAAAGAAGCAAGGCAATGGTGAACAACACAGTCCCAAGCAACAGTCCAGACCTTGACTTCATTCTTTCACTTCCATTTTCTTCATCTTCGATGTGCTCAAGAACGTTGAAATCACCTGCATACAAATTTTAACTCAACATTAACAGAATAATTTAACCCAATAAAATTAACAGAATAACCAGTCTAAACCAGATCAAGAACCGGTCTTTAGAATCAACACCTCGTTCAGGTCCGTAGCTGCAGCCGGACTTGAGGGTGTCACGGATGTCATAAACGGTGGCTCTGTTGAAGAACCTGAAGTGGTGAAGAATCTCGTCAATGCAATTCAAAGCCAAATGTGTTTCGGAGAAGCATGGTCCCTGGCAGAACTCATCCGTCCTCGCCCCCGGAATATTCAGTTCTCCGGTTAACGTTAGCCTCCATGCTTCCTCACACTCACTGTAAATCTGCATTTCATTCGGGAGTTTTGAGTGAAGGTTTGTATCAATTAAAATAGCCGAGGCGGCGATGTAAATATATAGTGGTTAGTTGATTTTGTCAGTCAATCAAAACTTAGGAGTAATCAATCTAAATAAACCTAAATCCAGGTCGGAATTTCTTGTGATGCAAGAAAATGATAATAATTAAGGTCCGCGGTTTATTGTGTCGCAAGTAAATGATTTTAGTTAGGTTACGTGTTTCTCATTTAAGCACTCCAAAGCTTTCGCAACTATCTCCGATGGATTGCCCCCACCTAAACCTCCGCCGCTATTTCCACCAAAACCCGTCCCTCCGCCGCTAAATCCGGTGCCACCACCGCCAAATCCTGGCCCGCTACCGCCTATTCCTCCGCCTCCCACACCTGTTCCCCCACCGCCAAATCCTGGCCCTCCACCTGCACCTCCTGCCTCTGAGTCGTCTTCTTCACCGTAAGTGATCCCTATAAGAAACACGTTCGTAAATAAAGTAATGAAAGAATGAACGACAAACCTGGACAGGAAACTACATGTGTGTATAAATTGAACAACAAACCTGGAAAGGAAACTAAGAGGAAGAAAAAAACAACAAGGGTGATCGATATCCGGAGGTCACTGATGAGTAACAAGGCCATTGTTAGAGTTCACTAGAACATAATTAGTAAATCGTTGTAATTTATAATACTATCTAGGTGTTTCTGGAAAGTTTCAAGACTTGTAATGCAAGTAAGTATAGTTCAGGTTCTTGTAGAGAGTCAACAATACAGAGGAGAATTTTGTAGCAGTTGAGTACAAGTCACCAACCCCTCTTTTTCCGTTTTTACTTTGCCTATTGTAAGCCATTTATTGACTGCCACTTATTGAGAATGAAAAATGAAAATCAAACCTAAAAGTGATCTCAAGACTCGACACGAAAGAAGTTGTTTTGTGATGACCAAGGAAGGATGTCGAAATCTTTTACAAAAGTAACTTACATAGTTACAAATGTATTTTCGTGAAAATAACACAATTTCATAATTAAAAACGTTAAAATAATATTTTGAATTCTAAGAAAAACATACATCTAACCAAATTGAACCGAGTCATCCCTCCAAAAGAGGCAACACAATAAAAGTTATTCGAAGATCAATTAAAAATTGGGCTAACGAGAGATCTAGTTGATAAAAATTATAATATTTTGATTGTTGATCAATACATCTATAAAGTTTATATTTCATTAATTAGATGTCTCGTTAAAAAAAGTAGGCCAATATTTGCACAATTTGTAAATATTTATGAAACTATGTTAGAAGCAAAAAAATTATTGTGGCGTCTCAAAAGACAACAAAATGTGGGATGAACACTCATTATTTTGAATGAACAATTACTTATTCTAAACATTATTTTTTCGAAGTGCAAGTGGATTCAGATTTCTTTGAAGATGCTCTGAGAAGGTAACTTTGAATTTCTCTTGTTTAATTTGTACTTTTGCCATTGAAAATTTTCTTATCTTTCAGGTTCTCTCAGTTATTTATGATGCCATTGAAGATCAAAGATTGACTCACTATCAAAAGTGATATAGCAGCTCGGAGAGTTCAGTTGTCTAGGAACATATACAAGAGTCATCTGGATCAATTGAGAGCTCTTTCTTCATGTGCTCAAACATTTTTAAAAGAACAATATCTTGCTTCTTCAATGTACCTGGTTGTTCTGGCCAATGCTATGACTCTTTTTGTTTCCTCTGTTCCTGTGTCTCTATCTCTGTTCAGTTCTGAATGTGATTCTGAACTTTTTTTTTATAAATTCGTAGAATCTCTGGAATAGCTTGAAAACATGGTGAAATCATATTTTCGAGATGCTAAGAAAGGAATCATTAACACAAACTTGCAAAAACTGAATCTCAATCCGCCATCCAGACCCACAATGTGGATATATTCATATTTTAGAACTGTTTTGGTTGCTTCCTGCAAAGTCGAAGTCACTTGAACTAGCTTTGGTAAATGCAGAGGTGTATGTTGTTATAGCTTTGGGCCATGGTTAGTTTTATTTTATGTGTTTTCTTTTTTCATCTACATTTTATAGCTTTGTGGCAATCTGACCAATGCATTTTGACTCCTTGTCAGAGTGTAAAGGATCATTGTATTATTTCTTTAAGGAGAAAGGATGGGTAATTTCGATGGTTGTGTTGCTTGTAGCACATCAGTAGGCCGTTTGCTTACTATTTCGATTTATCTAACCGATATTGGCATGAAAGAGGTATCGTTACCCATCTTGTGTAATCCATCTTTTATTATGTCATATGAATTAATATATTTTTTCTTTTACAAAAGTATCAAGTGGTTGATTATATCTACAATTTCTGAATCTTTTGAGTGATACACTGGAAAAACATGTCCTGACAGAATATAAAAAGGTTAAGGAAATAGAGTTTCAACATTTAGACATTGATGGTTTTGGTTCATCCTCACCTGCTTTGTTTACTCAGCAACTTGCAGGTAGGTTTTCTAATATATTTGCTCTAGGTTGATCAATTTTTGAATCTGATTATAATAGAAATATTTTTTTACAGCTAACTTACTTAACTATCCTATCAAGTATGTTGTTTCTGCTGATTTCTAGATAGTTTAGACTGGAACACATTTAACAGAATTTTTTAAACATCTATCTCCTACGAATATGCATATTGATTTGGTGTCGAATTCATTCGGTGCAAAAGGTATGGTGAATGTCAAAGAGACATTCAGATTTCATCATATTCGTGAATTAGATGTCTAGTTAAAAATTTTAGTTGTTTGTTTAATTAATATTTGTACAAGTCGTGTATTTATAGGAAGTTATGTTACAAACAATCATAGAAGCAAAATTGGTTGTGGCATCTTAAAAGACAACAAATATTGCGACGAACAATCATTATTTTGGATGAACCTGAGCATTCTTTTTTCCATATGCAAGTGGATTCAGATTTCTTCCAACATGCTCTGAGAAGGTAACTTTGAAGTTCTCTTCTTTAATTTGTACGTTTGCCATTGGATTTTTTCTTGTCTATCAGGTTCTCTTAATTATTTATGATGTCATTGAAGATCAAATGTTCTCACTCATTATCGAAAGTGAGATAGTGGCTCTTGATGCAGAGTTTGAAATTTCTAGGAACATAGACAAAAGTCATCTGGATCAACTGAGAGGACACACTTCTCCACTAAGACATCCTTTTAGAAAATTTTGGTGGAGTATGTATAGGCTGGACATATATAGAATGCTTGTACAACAAATAATTGTATTGAATGCATAAACCAAGTATCTAGTCGGATTACCTAATTTTACGAGAGTACAGTAATCCTCCAAAACTCATCGGTTTTACAATAATCTTCCAAAACTCTTCCAAAATTGTTATACTTACTCTGATATACTAATGTCAAAATTATTATAATGCATATTTGTGTATGCACATGGAAAGAAAGCTTAGCTGATAACTTCATTGTCATTGTCTGGCTACAACAAAGTGGTGTTTAATGTAAAAAGTTATAAAGAAAGACTTATTCGTAAATATTTGGAAAATTATATTCCAAACAACCGTAGGAGCAAAATTAGTTGGGGTATCTAAGACTCTAAGACCAAACATAATAGTCATTGCTAAAACTGATTCAAAAGGCTTGATTTCAAATAAAAGATAAATTGGTTTTATCTTCATTTAGAAAACAAAGTTTAAATTACAACCTCATAAATAAGTAGCCAAGAATGAAGAAATCACCAAGCCCATTCTATCAAAGGGACATCAAAACAATACATGGTTTTGATGAGACATTTATTGAAGCAACATTCTGCATACGCTTTGCAGTCAAAACAAAACCAGTCTATCAAAACAACATTAATGTAAGAATATGATGTTTTAAAATTGTCTCTACTGCTTCACACAACGGATGTAGATTCAGGAAAGTGAGTGTTGCATCCCCATAATATGTAGCACAGCCTTACTGGCATCGAGAAGATGATTCTCTTTAGCCACTACTTTAGAGTTGAAACCATGCATATATCTGAAATAAACCATTTATAAGTGAATTCACATACAAACTAGGCAAAATATTCAATTGAATCTATATGAAAAATGAAAGTCATTACCTCTTCTCATAAATCTGATCCCATATATAATTACCATCTCTTTTTATAATTTTCTAAGGAATCACCATCAGTAACTTTCTGTGTATATTACCAAATTAAATGATAAACGAAGCTCGATTAAAAAACTAAATAATAAATTTGAAATACTAGTAAAAAACTACCAATAAACCCCTCACAGTTATTCGTGTCAACAAATATGCTGGGTCGTACACCAAAAACAGAAGAGTGATAAATACAAAAGGGATCTCAGAGACGAATAAATGTATAATAAACTCGACATTGAAGTCAAATATGTGACCATGGTTAAGATCTAGGTGTTTCTGGAAAGTTTCAAGACTTGTAATGCAAGTAAGTAGAGTTTAGGTTCTTGTAGAGGGTTACAGATGAGAATTTTGTAACAGTTGAAGTCACCAACCCCTCTTTTTCCGTTTTTACTTTGCCCATTGTAAGCCATTTATTGAATGCCATTTATTGAGAAGGAAAAATGAAAATCAAACCTAGAAGTGATCTCAAGACTCGACACGAAAGAAGTTGTTTTGTTATAACCACGGAAATATCTCGAAAGCTTTTACAAAACTAACTTATATAGTTATTATTTAAATATTTACACATTCAAACCAAACACAAAAGTGATCTCAGATACGAATAAATGTATACTTTCTGCATAAAATCCTATCCAACACACCAACATGTTCGTCGGCTGTTTGTTTTCAAATAAAGCGAACAACAACAGGTAACGAATCTAAAAGAATGATGTGGAATTAATCGATGAGGACTTTGTTAAGTAGGGTTCCTCCGATATGTGATTTTCAAACGGATAAAATATCACGATTTCATCCGGTTTTCGTAGACCTTCCATGAGACTTAAGTATTTGACAAAGAATATCACTCTCTATTTCATAACTCTCCAAGGATACAAACAACCACCAGAGAGAGATACGGTATATATGTATATCAAATTTAACATTTATTTTCTTTTTTTCTTTAGTTTCAATATTTTACAAGGGCTCCTTTTATATATCGGGAGCCACAAGTTACATTATCTTTGGCCATTGACAGACTCGAATTTAAAGATAAACACACATCAAAGAAGCGACCCTTTGGTGCTTCTTTACAGATGAAACTTTTCTCGAGTAATTTCACAAGGAAAATAACCTATATTCTCTCTATATTAATTATATAAATAAATAAGAGGAAACACTCCACTTTGGTAAGAGGTTTTCCTTATTTAATTTGTTGTCTCTTTCTTTCTTCTTAAATGCCTCCGTCAAAGCTGCGGTTGGACCAAAATAGTATGTTTAAGGTCACCAATGTGTAACTTATGCTCACCCATTGGGATTCTCCTCTTTCCATACTCATCCACTACACCAAGATGCTTACAAGCATCAACTTCGACTTGAACGGTCCGTTTCGCACCTGCTGTGACATGAACCTTTTCAAACGCTATCAACTGTTTGTTCACACCCAATCCCTTTACTCCGTTTTCCGGCGGCTCGGCGAACACGAACACCGTGTGGGTTCCGTCGAAGTCACCGGTGTTTGACACTTCGACATGTAGGGGCATTTTCGGA